CGTAATGGCAGAGAGAGAGAGAGAGAGAGAGAGAGAGAGAGAGAGAGAGAGAGAGAGAGACCAGCCTAGGTATGGAGAGGGCACCTTACCAGGCGGTTATGTAACCTGTTTATTCAAGACCAAACCACCATCTTGAAATATTCTGCATTTCACAGGAATGGCTTACAAAAATATGCTGTTCCTGGGCTTACCCATCTCTCTCCTAGCTGATATGAGGATTACAACTAAGATGAGAGGAAAATGAGGAAATTGGGTGGGTGGGTAGGAGTGGATGATGTCATAGTCCCTCCTACCTAGAAAGTCCCAGAGCTCTGATTCCACTGCTGTCATATTTTGGAAAAAAAAATACTATAGGTATAAATGGCCAACATACTGGGAAAGTTAAAAGGAGCAGAGGGGGGGAAAGTCACTTCAAAACATGTCTTAGAATTGCTGGTTAATAGTCCACAACACATACAAGGCTGGTTTTTCACTGACAAGTCAGTCAAAGAAAACATTTGACAGATGGAGAATCCAACAGCACCATCTTTTTAAAAAAGTGTAAAATATATGAACCCTGAGAAATTCATCAATATGTTTTGCTTAAGTATTGAAAAATGAAGGTACCTTTTTCCTAAAGTTTTAAGATATCAAGTGTGATGAAAACTGCTTTGTCAGCTTTACAAAACAGAACAGGATCTAAGTCAATGGAGAGTTGTATTAAACTAGAACATGTAGTAATTCCATAGAGGTGGAAAACCGAAGTTAGCAAAGAGAAGTTTTGATAGAATTTGGCTTGATAGGCAATTTATAACTGAATTAATTTTCTAACTTACAAAGTTTTTTTTCCATTCGAAAATATTTTTGATACATACTTTGGAATATTTTGGTAACATTAATTGTAGCCTTACAAGCAGAACAAGTTTGTTAGAATGTGTAGGTCTTATACCAGAACATCTATATACTCATGTATCCATTTTAGTGTTTTTTAAAATTAAGTTTAAGTTCATTAATTCAAGTATGGTAAGTTTTTTTAAAAAATTAGTTCTTAGTCGTCAACTATTTACTCAGACCATCATCCATATATTCTCTTACAGATGCTTTCCTATGCTTAACAAAGTGAAGAAAGAACTGATTCGATATTGAATTGTACTCCTCGGAGCAGAGCAATAAGGAAGGGATATCCAGAAGACAAGAAGAGGTTTAACGAAGGGTCACATTTGGGACTACCTTTTACAACTTAATGCCAGCTCTTTAAAAAGGCAGGGATCTGATCTACATATCTCTGGGGGACTCTTGGGAGAGTCAGTCACCTTATCTGGATTCTGGACTTGCCGAATAAAGATGTCATTGTCAGTTCCGTTGGCTTCTATGGACATCATCCTGTCTTAGGCAGCCAAAGGCTTTGGAAAGGCCCCCCATAGACCATCTCTGATGGAAAACCACATGTAGTTGGCTTACCTGGTGATTTTGGGAAGCGTCACCAACTTCCCAGCCGCCAAGGCAGCATGCAGGCTGTGGGCACCTTCCGTCTCGGAGGCGATGATGGGTACGTCATCCCAGCCCACTTCACGGAGGCCCCGAATCACCCCACACAGCATGCCTCCGCCTCCTACCGAAAGCACCAGCGCTCCGGGCTTAGCATCCATCTGCTCCTTTATCTCTCTGACCAAGGACACGTGTCCTTCCCTGCCAGGAAAAGGGAAGCCGGCGCATCAGCACCAGAGGGAGAAAGAAGACAGATCTGCCCCACCTTCTCTAAAGCAAGAATTCTCTGGGGAAAGTTTCTGAATTCTAAAAAGGTCATTTTTAGAGAGTATCTCTGCCGTGCCCCACAACCTCGCCCTATGTCTTGGAAAGACAACAAATTATTATATCCTAGGAGATCTAGAACTTCAAGGCTCGTCAGAAGGAGACAGAATAGAACCCAGGGGTTCTATTCTATTGCTTTCTGGTAGGACTTGCAGTCTATCAATATCTAGAGGACCTCACATTGTTTATCCTTGGGTTGGCCTCACTCTTGATGGCTTTTCATAATTCGGATGGTAGTGGTTTTGTTTCTGAGACTGATGACTCTCTTTTCTTTTTAAATTTTTTTAAAAAATCAACATATCTACACTACACAATTATATTAGTTGTATACTAATTTTGAATTCTCCTGAGTTCATACTATGGCATCCTGGGATTTGTAGTTTGGGGGGGACTTAAGACTTTGCTGTAGTTCGGGAGATTGTGACCTCGCGCTCTGTAGCAGGGAAGCCTAAGGGGGCGATCGGACGAGGGCGCTTAATTCAGTTATAAATTGAGGGACACTGGAAAATACCTCAAACTGGACTGTGCCAGAAGCAAATCAAAAGATGAGTTATACTGCCATATGATCACTTCCTATGACCCTCAGCAAAAAGGGGAAAAGTCCTGAAGACAAGGGTAGGTGACATCTTAATTAGACACCAACATTTCTCACACATAGGAGACTTGTTTTTGGCTAGTCTCTGTCACACTACGCATTATGCAGTTGGCAGTGCTGCACACACACACAAAAAAAGCAGAAAAGTCCCAAAATCCATGCCCAGATATGCAGGCCAGCTTCATTATTCAAAACTATTTCCACCTCGGGGGCCACAGATTCCACTGAGATTTCACCTCTGGTAATGAGGCTTAGGTAAAGGTAAAGGTTCCCCTTGACAATTTTTGTCCAGTTGTGTCTGACTCTAGGAGGTGGTGCTCATCTCAATTTCCAACCCACCGAGCTAGCGTTTTGTCTGTAGACAATCTTCCGTGGTCACATGGCCAGCGCGACTAGACAAGGATTGCCGTTTACCTTCCCACCGAGGTGGTACCTATTTATCTACAGTACTTGCATTTTGCACGCTTCCGAACTGCTAGGTTGGCGGGAGCTGGGACAAGTGACGGGCGCTCCCTCCGTTGCGTGGATTTGATTTTACGACTGCTGGTCTTCTGATCTTGCAGCACAGAGGCTTCTGTGGTTTAACCCACAGCACCACCACGTCCCTAGATTGCCTCAAAGCTGTTAGATAAAGAGCTGGAAGTCATTAAGGATTGCACTGCCCCACACTCATAATGCCTTTTGTCAAAACGCTTTGTTCCTTTTTTGGCTGGGGAGTCAGAGATACACTGAAAAACAACCATCTCCATATCACATCAGTTGGGAGAAATGTTAGTTTATACAGTAGAGAAGTTAACTGCAGCAAAAAAAATGTAAGAGATGAAATCTGAAAGCTACCCCCTCTGAGCAGATCTTGTTCCTCCTCCTATTTTGGAACGTCCTTTAAACACCTAACCTAGCTCACACATCTGGTCATGGATTTTGGAGTTCTGATGTCTCTTTTGCACCAACCCAACTCTGTAATGCCTAGGCTGATGAAGATGAGCACAGAGTCGGGAGCTAGCCTCTGTGCATCAGAATTTAACGGGCTCATAAAGGTATTGCCCACTATTGTCTACCAGCCCCAGGATACCGTAAGATGAAACCATGGCAGGTAAAATGGCCCTCAAGAGCCATTACTGCACATTGCAGATACATCCTCTGTCTTCCATCTCATATATTTAAATCAGGTTCGGGGAATTTATATAGCCCTCCAAATGTGGTGAACTCCAATTCCCATGGCTTGGCCACTTGGCCAGTGGTAAAACATGATAGAAAT